CGCGCGCCCCGCGCCCCCCGCGCACCGCGCTGCGCTGCTTCCCGGCCCGCCGCCCGCGGCGGGAGGAGTTTGCCCCGGAGCATAGGGAAGTTTGCTGCCGAAGCTCCGCTCCTGGAAAAGCCGTACCTGCGGCGCCCGCTCGACCCGGCTCTGCTCGCAGCTCGCGAGGTAACCGCACCGGGGCTGGGGAAACGTGTAGGGGGCGATGTGCAGGAGATCCGAGGGGCCAAGACTGCGGGGCGCCGCGGGGCACCCACGGTCCGAGCCGGTTCTGGGTGGGCGGGGAAGTGCATCCTCACCTTTCCAGGTACTTCGCCTCTGTTGACTGCGGGAGGCATCTTTCTTTTCCTTTCTACCCCTTCTCTTCCAGCGCTTCCCCCACCCCCCGCCGCCCAATATCGGAACTCAACTTCCATGCACTTTATTGGACGTGCTGGAGTTGGGGGTGGGGGGCGGGGGCCTGGGAGATGGGGAGGCTACGAAGACTTGGAGAGGGACGGAGGAGGAGGACGGATACCTGAACTTATTAGCTACCGGTGCTGGGTTCCTGGGCCCTGGCGGGGCACCCTGGACTCCAGGATTCCCTTTCCAGCCCCCACTGGGGCACGCAGAGGTTGGAGAGAGGACCCGATAAAGAACGGTCTTGAGTTTCTGATGCCGGTTTATCCGGTCCTCCAGCCTGTTTGGCAGAAAGATGAGCATCTCTGCTGTGATGCCCCTTTTGCATGGGTCCCCAAACCTGCGACCTTGCTAAGGCTGCGGGCAGTGTGGGAGGGAAATAAGGAGACTCGGCGCCCAGGTTCTAAGTTCCCTCAGCAAAGGGGTGGGGAGGGGTCACATGGGGAGGGGGCTTGAGGTGGGTTGGGGAGAGTAGGAACTGCTTAGCTGTCCTGTAGCTGCTGCCATTACGCGGTACCCGCCCCCTCTCTGCCGCATTTGAACAGCCTGACTATCAGCATGTTTCTGTTAGAAGGCTAAAAGGTGTTGTGTTTGATGCCTGTCAGGAGTTATTTCCAACAAAGTTCGCAGGTGCGAAGCTGGAGCTGCCGCTCCTCCGCCCCCCCTCTTCCCGCAGGTCCACCCCCAACTCCCTCCCACAAGCAAACTGTTCCTGAAGAGTTCCCAGGATTTTGCAAGGGATGTCAAGGAAATAATATGTACAGTGTGTGTTTGTGGGACTTTTTTTCACATTATGTTATCAGAACCAAATCAAAACAGTGGGTGTTTAAGAGTACTCTTTTTTTTTTTGCAGTTTGTATAGTAATTAAGATTGTTATTTACCAATGTTTATTTTTCTTCACTTTAACCTCAAATATTGCATTAATCGCTCTCTCTTTAATTTTATCTATACTGTTACTATTCCACTGAGTTTAAAGGACGTGGGCTTCTTTGAGACTCATATATACATACCAAAATACAGTGTGACCATATTTAATATGTATATGTCTTCCTGATTCAGTAGCCTGGCACCTGCCCATTCCAGCACATAATCACAACACCATATGCCTGTCTACCGATTAAGGAGAAGGAGAATGTTATTGTTTTTTCATGGGCAAGGGTACTCTGGACTACCAGATTTTATTATTGCTCAAAGGGTTTTTAAGGGCTTCAGTCCACGTGAATCAGATATACAGAACAAAATTACAATACAACCCGATGCATTCACAAAGAATACCATACTTAAGACACTTAGAGTTGACTAGTTATTGAGGAAAAAAAGAAATCCTCTAATCACATGGAGAACATTTTGATTGAACATAGTCAATAAGAAATAGCACACATTGAATGCCTTGAGGGAAGGAGAAGAATTTTCCCTTTGCCTCATTTGGTGTTTATCTCCTTTACTACAGTAGTATCTCCCAGAAAAGGGGCACCTTGCAGATAGATGTTGGTTTGCACTGACTAAACACCATATTTTTTAATACAGGGGCTTGGTGACAGTCCAAAAACATAAATGTTTTAAATAATTACCAACCATCTGTTCTCTCCCACTCATTTCAAGTGCAATGTTATATTTTCACAGGTATCCAAACATATATCCTCATTTCATGCATTTCCATGAGCATCCCCAAAGCTGTAATGGTATCCGATGTTGACCCTAGTTCTGTAACTGTTGTGTTTGGCGTATTACACTATAAGCTCCTCTCCTTTTATTTTCAATGAAAGGAGAAGTCAAAAAAGTTGTAAAGCCTTCGGCCAAGACTGGTGTATAGGCCAGTGAAATCTGATTGCTCCCACCCCCTGCCCACCACCACACCCTCGCCACTTTTTTTATACCAGAGTGAAGTTGGGAATTAGTGCAACTGCGGGCTCCTCCTGATGACATACTTCCCCCTTCTTTTGGTCACAGAGTAACATTTGGTACTCTGAAGCAGTGCATTCAACAGCCCCATAACTCCAGAAAATTAGTATAGTTATAAAATTGGAGACTAATTTAATATTCCAAACCCCAAATTAAGTAGACCTAGAACATACACATTATTTCCCACACAAATATTGGGTATGAATAATATAGGATGTTATATAGGGTATGATATGATATCTTTCTACTTGTGTTTGGTAATCTGGGTGAGTTTGTATAATCAGCAGATAGATGATTGACACCCTTCATTTTGTTTACGTCATCATTCAAGCAAGACAAGGTTTTCAGTCTCACCCCACCTCTTATCCAGGGATGTTTTCCCATTTAGAAATGTTTGCTACAGCTAAAACTGCAATGTTAGGATATTTTTATTACTCAGAATTAAGTTGCATAATAAATACGTTGTTCCTTCGCTGCAGCCAGAATGTTGAGTTCTTTTTACTCAAATCTGGGTGTAGCATCCCAAAGCATGGTCATAGTTTTGAGAATAAAGACAGTGGCAATCTTGTTTACACTCTGCGAATAACTGATATGTACTTGAGAAGTATCAAGAACCAAAGAAAACTTGGGCTTCTGCCTTCTTACCGGCTGCGCTGCACTATACTGCCCTTGCTGTGAAAGAATGAGATTACCTTACTTACTACCAGGAAAGCATTGAAGAAAATGAATCCAGACTATAGACAATTTTGAGAGTAAATTTGCCTTTAAAAACATGGTCTAATTTAAACCTTTGGAAATATATAAAGATGTGTTACAACTTATTTTCCTGTACACTAAAAATTATTGAAGGGAAAGAGTTTCACCATGTACAGTAAGCACTCTGAATTATTCATGTTAATGAGAGGAATAGAGGCAAAAATAACCCAAAATCATGGTTATTTAAAGTCATTTGTGTTTGTGTTTGGAATGCATTACATGTTTTGCTTTAAAAATATTTTCATTGTTATTGTGGGCAAGTTGCCTTTCTAATTACATTATTTTGTTTAGGTTAATTTTTCAATGAGCTTGCATACCTCAAACACCAAAACCGATTTATGGGGAGGTGGGGTAGGTGGGCAGTCTGCCCAGAAATGAGCAGGGTGACAGAAATAAGCAAACCTGGTATGATAACTGTGCAGAAGATTATATCTAATTCACAGAAAGATAATCAGGGCTTGATTGTATGTCGATTTAATGAATATGTGTTAAGAAGTAGACATGTTCCTGAGAAGAATTAAAAGTTCTTCAATCCAAATTTGAGAAATTCAATCCTACTTTACTTGTAACAGAGGTGATTACTATGGTTTTAAAAATGATAGTGGGGTGCTCTTGAAAACCATATAGGAAGATTCTAATTTATAAATTTTGCTAAACCCAATTTTTAAGCATGAGGTTTTCCTAAAGCATACACATGTGTAGGTGTTAAGGTTACATTCCTATTAGGCCTTACATATGTATTTTCCAAAAGAAGAAATGGCCAGACACCATCAGAATAAGGGGTTTGGTCCATTTGATCTCTGCACCCATGCTCCAAATCAAAGCACATTTCATCAAAGAGAAGCTCTCAAGTATCAATTGTTACTGTGGGCCTGGTTGGATAAAATAGTTGAAATTCAGCAAGACTGCCAATTTAACAGATTTCTATTGTATTTTTTTAAAGCTCCAGGGCAAAACTGGTTGTGGATGAAATAGTTACCTTCACAAGACGTTGATTCACGCCATAGTACTTGCTGTTAAACACCTTGTTTATAGTCAGCGTTCAGTTGTAGATAGAGTTTGTTGAATTGTTCTGTGGACTATTAGAAAGAATTTAGAAAACCTCTGTGGAGAGGGGTTAGAGCTGCCAAAAATGTATGTTTAGAAGAGCAGCTAAGCTCATTTTTATTCAATAAGTCAAAGTAAAAAGTAAAACTGTGCCTTCTGCAGCAATGGACAGAATGGTAATAAAAAAGTAGATGTCCCCTTCAGAATGGGAACTATGTTCTCATAATAAATGTACTCACTACTTCAAGTACATGGGTACTTCTTTTTTGAGGAAATATTTTTGCTTTCTATATGGTATGACATTTTTTAAAGGCTTGACTAGACTATTTTAAAAAATATTGTGCTTAGAATAATTGACACCTATAGGATATATTTTATACACATTTATTAGAGGAATCAGTTTCTTCCTATCGGTGCATAAGTCTTAGTATGCTGCGTTTTGTTATGGAGCTGGAAAGGACCTTAAAAGTAATTTATTCCAATGTCTTCGTTTTACAGTTAAGGAAATTGGGGGCCCACAATGATCAGAGTGAGCTGCTAAAGGTCATTGGTGGTTAATGGCAGAGCAGACACCAGGAACCTGATCTCCTGACTGTTCCTCCAGTTCCCTGGTAGTAAGTTGGTTAGTTAAGGGAGTTAACTTTTTGGCCATCACAATATCAGCTGTACGAGACAGTCATGAAATGAAGTGGTACAGAGGTAAATGCGGAAGGCTTGTGATTTTTCTGTCCACTGTCATTCACTGAGTACTCACCTTGGGTCATACTGTGGTCCTCAGCCCTCTTAGATTCTGGCCTCTTTTTAATTAACAAATATTCTGTGTTATCCTCCTGGTATCCAGAAATGTAATTCATCCGTAATATGGTTACTGAGTATATCTGTAATGGAAGGGAGCAATAAAATAAAAGTAATTTGTAATAAAACGTGCATTTCACTATACTAATGTTTGGGACTAATTTCATTAGAACACATATTAAACAAGCCATACATTTGCATGGATATTTAATGAATAAATTTGGATTTAATACAAATAATAAAAATAAACTAGAAGACCTTCCATACA